CTCCAAGGAAGTTCGCAGCGGCCCCGAGCGGGAAGACCTTTCCAGGTCCAAGCTGAAGACTCGGGCAGATTCCCGTGGGAGCCGCGGGCGCCGACAAAGATCGAAGGGGGGCCAGTAAAGTGCGCCCCCGCCCCGGGGCCTTCCCGCACGCGGGGACCCCGGGGGGCCCCGGGCCCGGGCGCCACTCCGGCAAACTTTCCGGGCCTCCCCACCCCCTCCGGGCCCCGCCCCCGCCTCGGCCCCGGGGGTCACCCCGGTGGGGGCATCCGGGCCCTCGGTCGCCTGGCAGACACCCCTTCCCCCAGCCAGGGGGAGTGTTCTGGCGCTTGGCCCGGAGGCCTCAGAGCCCTGGTGGGTGGGAGGCCGGCGGAGCAGGCATCGGGTCCCCCCCACACCGGGGATGCTGGTGGTCTCGGGGGTGCGGGGAGCCGAGGCAGAGCCTCCACCCAGCCCCTGAACCCGGGGCCTGTCTCCTCCCCAAACCCTTTCTCCCCAAAGAGCAGTCGTGGTGAAACTCTCGGGCCCCCGGGCTGGACTCTTCCTTGCAAAGGAACCTGGGGGTGCTCTAAGGAGAACTTGGGTAGGTGTGGGGGTCAGGCTGTTTTGGAGCAGAACCTACTCCACTCATCTCCCTCTTGGTGGTCCTGTTTGGTTGGGCACAGCCTGCGAGAAGGCAGTGGCTGCTTTTTCCTGCGGCTGCTTTTGTTCTGAAGCTGGATTGTGGAGGTCTGTGTGGGTGGTGAAGAGCCCTCAGGCCCCCCTGGCCCCTGGAAGCGCCTTCTGAAAGCTTGGCTCCAGCAAGGCCAGCCTCGGAGTCAGGTCCGCTTTTCAAGAATGGGCGGCCAGTTTGGGGTCTTTGTGTCCTCTCCTGGGGCTGCAGGAAGCCAGGGACAACTCCTCTTGATTTCCTGCTGCTTTGCCCTCCCAGGCCTGTGCAGGGCTGATTTTGCACCGGTCTCAGTGGGAGGAGGGAGTTGGGAGATTTTGAAAAATCGCAGATCTGTCAGAGCATTATTCCACTTGGTGCATGCCTGTGCTGTGCCCCGACGGGCACCCAGCTCTGTTCTCCGTTCCCCGCCTCCAGTGTGAGAGATGATGTGTCTGCAGCCCTGTGCTGTGGGTTGCTTCC